TTTAATGTATGTGATGCTTCTTTAAGAGTTATAATGCCCTCTAAACTATCAGATTCTATATTATTCAGTTTAGGAACATGAAAGTCATGTAAAAAGTTGTCTAAATTAACATCATCTATATTATCATCATTGGTATATAAAGACTCATAAAATAATTTAACTTCTTTAAGTATCTCATTTTGATTAGTTATTATATCCCCATTTTCTTTTTCTATTTTTGGAATTATTTTTGAGGTATAATTTCTGTTTTCGAGATTAAAAAAGTAGTTAGTTGGCTTTTCTCCCTCTTCAACCCATTTAGCTTTAGATCTAATAATGCTACCTCTTAGTTTATGTAATCTTATATTTTCTAATTCTTGTTTTTTCTCCTTTAATTTATCAAAATCAATATTTTCAACCGATTCTAAATGTTTTATAATATCTTTTAAATTGTTTTCTAAATGGTTCTGTTGTTTTTTCTTATGTGAAGCATATGAAATAGTTTTCCCTCTAATTTCTATTAATAACGTTTCAAAAAACAGCTGATCATCTATAACGAATTGGATCTCAGAGTCCAGAATATTGGATATATTGTGTGGATTATACACTGGAAGAGCATATTGGGTTTTAACGTCTAAAATAATTTTGTAAAAAGTTAGTCAAAACCCTATAACGTGATATCCATTTTCATCGGGAAACCGGTCAATCAGAGATTTTAAGAGATGGTAAGGTGTAAACAATTCAGCTATAGAATTGCGTGATATAAGTATATAATAAGATACAATTAGGGGATAGTACGTTGTTTTGAGTGGCTATACTGGCGATTAGAACATGAAATTTGGTTTTGAACTCGAGACCGATAGGTCGAGAGTTTAAACCAAAGTTCATGTTCTAATCGCCAGTATAGACACGAAAATCAACGTACTATCCCCATTCTAACACACCTTAACACATATACTACGCTAATATGTTTAGAAACATTGTATTTCCTTGTACAAAAGTACGTAGTTAAATACTTTGTGACCTGAACTGGCGACGTGTCAATCTGCAGCGGACTGACCAATCGGAAAGAAGCTTTCAAAAGTCGGTCATTTGGCCCCACCCATACTGGGGAGCGCTTGTTTGGATTGTTCGTGAACATCCTGTTACCGAAGTTTATACGACACATTTGTATTGATATTGACCAAGTTCTTACATTTCCATGTCAGTATGCATGCCAATCTGTGCTTATCGACAAAATCGGCGATTATTTATATAGATTTGTTAAGAGTTTTGTGTAAATGCATACGACACATGTGAAATGTTTCATTTGATTTGGGATCTAAATATATGCCTTCACACGGATGGAACGAACGTTTCAGTAATAAATGGAGGTAAGACCAAGGAATGAGTACTTTTTACTTTTTAATTCATTCAACAAACACATTTCATCGGTCGTTTCTGTTCTGTTGTCTGCTAGCCTTATCAGCGCGATTTCGCTGAGAGGCGAGCTTGACGCCATATTGTTTTGGTTTGAAACGGGGCGTGGCTTAAGGGCGATGGGAGGAGCTTAACAAGATTTATCATGATTCTATCGCAGATTAGAACATGGTCCGTATCCAATCAAAACACGCCTTGCAAACGAATCGTGTTAGAATAAGGGATATATTGATTTCTTTTTTGTGATATAGGGATACCAATTCACTAATGTAGCAACAAATCCTTTGATCTGCGAGTCAATAAATAGGCGACATTATTTATAATTTGCTCTATTACTGTTTTGTTGGCAACTGGGTAGGTTCTTGTTTTTGTTGATGTATTTTGTTTTATTGACTGATTTTAGTTAACATTACATTCTAGTTTTGTGTACGTTTTATTAATAATGATGAACTATCTTAAACCTTCAGGTGGCGATACCGATCCTGCTTCTCTGCTCCGCGGTTATCAGAAGAACTGATGGATGGGGAGCAGAGGTGACAACACCTGAAGGGGCTATAGATTTTGATCCAGATGACAACAAACCTGACCTTGACGTTGAACCACCTCCTCCAACTACTACAACTACTACTACAACTACCACTACTACTACTCCAACTACTACTACCACCACTCCAACTACTACTACCACCACCCCCACTACTACTACCACCACCCCGACTACTACTACAACCACTCCAACTACCACGATAACCATCTTGGATATTACTACCACCACTCCAACAACTACTACAACAACTCCAACTACTACTACCACCACCCCAACAACTACTACAACCACTCCAACAACTACTACAACCACTCCAACAACTACTACAACAACTCCAACTACCACTACCACCACTCCAACTACCACTACTACAACTCCTACTACTACCACTAGTCCAACAACCACTCTCCCGAAAAAGAACTGTAGCATCAACGTAGATGATGAATGCTTAGAGTCAAAACAGCTGTTATTGGACCTACCAGACACAAAGGAACTCCTTATATTCCAGTTAGTTTATTCTGTTTTGTTTTATCATTTTATATCTATTATCGCACAAGTCGTCTATCAAACGTAATGTATGATTTAGAGTCACTTGTTTCAGAAAAATGAGGTACTGAATAATAAAGCAAGAAAAAGATGCTGCTACGTAATATATAAATGGACCAGGTAGTAAATTCAACAGTGTAGATAAGATGAGGTTGTCAGGTTTTCGGAGCAACTGCTTCTGTATCGAGACACAGAAACCACGGAGCACTAACATTACAATAAAGAATAGAAATGATATACGATATTAATAATATTTTAAAACAATAAGTCCCACTGTTAGCGTAAGACGATGGCAGAATTTACAATGGAACGTATCATTGACCAATGATACTGTGTGTGCGAAAAACGACATAGAGATAACATTATACAGAGCGCGGAGAACAGTTCTGAAGCTGGAAAAAAACTGACACGACGATTTGTCTAGCTATGATTAATTGGTTATGGAGTAGAATATCTTATAATAAGCACATACATTTTAAATATTTGTTGTTGCGAAAGATAACATTTTTAGTGAGGACAAGAGAAATACGTATTACAAGTTAGTGACGAATTGACACAACGAGGAATAAGTATTACAAGTAAGTGACCAAATAACACAACGAGAAACAGATATGTCCCACTAAATCTGACGGCGTGTGTCAGTCTTATACACTGACACGTAGCAGCAAGCGTAAAATCGCCAGACTAATATCAGTGAACCAGCTTGCCAAATACCGACCGGGAAGGGCAACAAACGGACAATAACAGTTTATTGTTCGTTCATACATCGAGGGTACTGGCTTTGCATTTTGGTGATCCAATACCTTTCCCTCGAGCGCCGTCTCGATACATTTCAGGTTAGGTATTTATCTATGGGAACCACCTGTATCTTTACAACTATAGCTATGTGGGTTAAAGTGCCTTGCCACATGAAATCTGGATTGTTCTGCTAAATGGAGCAGCAGTAGTTGTTATGCACTCACATATTGCATATTACATTTTTTGCAAGTTATAAGATGTGTCTTTGTCTCCATAAATTTGACAACATCATCTTGTCTACGCTGTCGGAAAATCTTCCTCCCATACATACTCCAATTTTGAGTAATCTGCATCCCACACACATACGTTTGTAAGGATTTGGTGTTATATTAATATTTACCGTTTATATTACTTCTTTGACCAATAATTTAGTGTCAAGATCGTGGAAACACTGCCCAGCTCAACGTGTCGATACCCGTTATTTATTATGTATATTACAATTCCCAACCCTTCGGTAAATGTCGTGTTTGTTTGTTGATATATTTTTTTTTTTTTTTTTTTTTTTGATATCAGAGTAATTTTTCTTACCAAAGCACTTCAATATTAAACTGAGATTTTGGCAGAAAATTGCTTTAAAAGAAAATGGATTTTTTAACATAGAATAAAATGCATCACTAAATTTAGATAAGTTATTCAATTATATATCAAGAAAACATTCATAAAGACAACCAAGAAAAAAAAGGCGAACTTTTTCTATGACGCAATAATGGTTTTTGAAGTTGTGGTCCGTATAAATTGCAGAATACGTCTGCGTTACGCCTTGATGTTGGATAAGCAAGCCAAGCTCTTCCTTCTGCAAATACCTGAGCCTTCAGAAGATGATACCGAGACCAAGTGTATATTTGACCAATCAAATGGAAGGTATGTTTAACGAAACAAAAAATAATAAAACACTAAAAATACTGTACTCTAATGTTGTATTTCAATGTCAGCAAGGATTGGACGCTCCAAGCAAGAGCAAAAGAACGCATGTACTGGTCAATCTGAGAACACTGAACACACAAGCAAAGTAAATGAGAGCATATCAATGATTTTGCAGTGGGATAGATGTAAACAAATCATTTAAATTTCATCTTTGTATCTCTGAATTTCGATTTTGTAACCCACACTCACACAAACAATTGTTTTTTTTCTCTACGGGACCCTAATGCTCTGTCTAGATATAACAACAGCTGTTTCGTCCTTCTTTGACTAATCGGCGATGCTAGGGGCCACAAATTGGAAATCAGAATTGGTCTTAGATACCTGAGAGTTCGAAAAGGAGATGCATAAAACCCCTTAATTGAATGGATTCCAAAATTGAGATAAGCAATGTTTAACTTCAAATTGCCTAATTTGTAAAGAGGGTATATTATGAACCGTGCCCACTAATCAGAATGCAAACTTAAATTAATCCGTATCAATGTAAACTGAAGTGAAGCATTTTTTATGAAGTTATATTGTTTCGAGCTATAAGATAATAAACCGTAATGAGTACTTATACGAACGTGACTAAAATGTAAACAGATAAAACAGAAGCCACGTTTGACTCTCATTTGGAATGTTTGGATGAGAAGAGGACTATTCCACCATGAAACCAAAGAAATCATAGATATTGAAATTACCATACTCTAAAATGGTCAATACTGTTATGTAAGAGGGAAGATCTCATTACCTTAGTTTCCGGTACGTTTGTTTCGCGCACCGTTTAAACTGAAAGGTCGCCATCAATGCACGCGGCTAGAGTAACACGACCAGAGAAAATTCTATCTTCTCAGCTCTCACAATGATGTCGACCAGCAATTTTATGTTCTATTCTTACATATCATGTAGTTCCTTTGCGACCTACTGACCTTCACTATGTTTCAATAGTGTCAGGGGCGGCGGTGGCAAATTGGTTAAGGCGTATGACATTCTGCTACCACTAGCCCTCCACTACTGTGTCATGGGTTCGAGGCCTGCGTGGGGAAGTCGCCAGGTACTAGCCGTAGGTCGATGGTTTTTCTCCGGGAACTCCGGCTTTCCTCCTCCACCAAAAACTGACACGTGTTTAAATGACCATAGCTGTTAATGGGACGTAAAACACAAACAAATCAAACCATAGCGTCGTCAAACAAAAGGACAGCGACAAATTTTACGCGACGACAGCATTACTCACAATTTTCAAATGTTTAGCGGACATACCTCCGCCATATGACGTCATTAAAAAACGATGTCAGTAATCATGATAATAAATGTGTTATGTTTAAAATTACGTTGTAACAATACCAAACATGATATAAAGTGAGTACAAACTGATAAAAAAAAATGTTTCACAGTTGTTGCGTGCAACGACTAAATGCACGTGTTTTAGGCTGTACCATCAGTCGACAATTCCAGTGAATCTTCGTTGTATTTTTACATTTTTTGAATGTCATTAGTATAAAGTATGTCATGTACGTATAACCATTAAACTGCTTTCAGATGTGGTCCATAGGTCGGCATCAAATGCTTCAGTAACTATCAATTGCATTTTTTTTCTCTCAGTGAAGGTAATCAATGTCCCTATGACCTGAAGACTATATTCGGATTCTGGAGATATTGGAATGAGCTGTGCGTAGTCGTCTACCCAAAATTACAGAATATAACGTTCGCCAAATGTGAAAGAAGGTGATTATTTTAATTATACGACATTAAAACATTTTGAATTCTATATCTGAACTTCCTATGATATTCGAAATCTTTCAAAAAACCTTCAAAAGGCAAAACATAAAAAACACCTCAAAACACAAAGAAAAAGTATCAACAACTTAACAAACAACCTATGTTTTTTTCTCATTTCTCTGTGGGTATGATAAAACTGTCCAGACCTGTTAAAAGAATATTCAAAAATATCCATGTATTCAAATGTGTGTTGATTGTCTTCAAAATTATCTTTGTGCTGTATAAAGACGTATTTTAAAGGATATAGTTCGCACAGTCACAATATTTGTATTTCATTCATCTCTATAAACTTAAGCTAATAATAGTATGTTAGTACTCACATATACATTTGTTTAAATAACTAAATTATTATACTTTCTAATAAATATATTTTATCATTAGAATTATATACATCTTGTACATGTCTTATACTTTACTAAGGGCTGGCTGCTGCGGAAGTGGAACGAAGTGTGCCCTTACCGGGTTTGTCAGGAGGCCCTACCTGATATACTGTGACAGGTATTACCCCTATTGGCACCCTTCAGTTGAAGACAGGACACCGGATGTTATCAGATCAGATATTTTCCTCCACTATGATGTTGACGAAGACGACATACCAAGTTATGAGCTCGATCACGCGAACACCGGTTTAGGTCTGTTCTTCCTCAGGCATGACTTGTTACCTCAGGGTTGTAACTGTTTGATACGAGCGTGCAAGAAATTCACATACGGATAGAAAAAAAACGATTTATTCTCAGCAATGTACTCCCCGCTGTCTGCTTTTGGTGTCAGGGTTTTGCTTATTTTGGATCTTAGCATTTTCTTCAAAATTACCAGTCTATGCCTAAACTATCTCTTAAGCATCCATTGTTTATTTTTAAGTTGAAACATGAATTTCGGCTGTCCTCTTTACGTTTCCATACATTTCGATATAGAAACAATATAAGGTCATCGCTATGGTTCATTTCATTCGTTTTTAAGGAAAGTTTTCAAGAAAAATAAACTATGATAAAAAACTATTTCACTTCCATCATTTATGACTATTCGATCGATATCCATATTAATCAATTAATATATCTGATCAAGTTTAATGACACATAAACACACGAATAATAATGTGCTTAAATTGTGTAAATGCATTTACCATAGCTGAAGGCGGCCAACAACTTTTTAAATCCAAACATCAGTGTTCAATAATCAACACTCCCATACCAAATTTGTAGGCTGAATTCTTTATTTGATTTATTTACACATATATTTTTTCTTAACAGACAGTCCGTTTAAGTAAAGTACTTATCGCAAACGACCATTTTACATCTTTACGGAAATATTCCCATAGAAGGGTAGATTTTGTCAACAATATTCGCAAGCAGGTAGGGACATGGTGTTATGAAATTTCGCGAGACCAAATATATTTCCTCAAAAGTATGTCTGAAAAACACTCCAAAGAAAAAGCTGTTCAAAATCTCCTCAAAGTCTTGTGTTGATAAAATTAATGATAATCTGGTAAAACAGTTTGCCCTTCTTCTTTGTTCAAAAATCTTCTTAGTTTTTTAATTTAAACATGTTGAGAACCATATCAATCATACAGAGATTTCCATCTATTTTCGGTTACACATTACACATATTATTTGTGTCATAGGAACATGTAAGGATATAGGACACATAACCCAGTAGACTTCTGGGAACCAATAACATATGTCTCTTAGCCCTAAAAATCTATGGTTTATGTTAATGACATATGCTGTCTTTACCAATATTCCTGTGATGTCTTTGTAAGAGCTGTTTATGTAACATTGATAGAAATGACATGCACTTAAACGTATGTTTTTAATCTTTCATCAAAGAATATTACAATTCATAAAGTAAATTTGATAAAAAGGGTTCTTACTTCTGAAATCGTTTTGTATTGACATGCATTTAACAGTAAAATAGAATATATATTTTAGTTCCAATATTATACAACGTATATGCATGGCTAGGTAGAATACAATAGAATACTTTCGTATGTAGGGTTTGCCAATTAAATCAGAAGGGAAACGAACGGCGTCAATGTTAATACACTATGTATATTCATAGTTGATGAGGGTGCATTTCATTTGAAAAATCTGGAAGCATAAACCAAAATCACATTATTTATCAAATATATATTACCGACCCCGACCCCCTTCCCCCATTTCCATCCTTTCATAAAAGGGGAAAGGAGTATGAACAGACGTCAAAATATTTGAGTGCTGTTAGGTACAAATGTATGCTGTTTGATGTACGTTTGTTGTACAAATATAACTGAAATTGATAGCATATATATTATTTTGCTCCAATGGGGAAATAGGGGTCGTACGAATGCGTGCTATACTCCGTAACTGATACCTCGTGATATTAACACTTACACTGTAAGTTTAAAATATGCACACGTATTTTATTCGGTGATTCACAAATAAAACAATATTCTGAACCAAGATTTTTCAAAGAAACAAGATTGTCCTGTTATTTTTAAAACAGTTATATATCTTTTAATTGCCATCATGCAGGTATGTATATAGCAGCCTTTGATGTTTTCTAGACATATAAGTAATGATCTTTATTTATTCAACAAGGACTGATCAGATATTACGTGTCTGCACACTGAAACATACCTTAAAGTTCGTTTAGTGGGTTATCTTTTATTGGATAATGAAGAAATAAACAATTGAGAAACATTAAACAGTGTTTTTTTTAATGCTGGGCACTAATCTTTGTCATCACGTTACTGACTGCAGGGACATTGGGCAGTAATATCTTACAAACTTTTATGCTGTTAGCAATGCCAGATTCAAGATATTGTTTTCAACTGGGTATTCCTCATTTTGGAAACAAACCCCTAAAATTATGTGTTTTATATATAATATACTACACAACCCACAAACAATGTATACAATTTTCCATTATACAGCTATATGTAATAATAGTAATAAGAATGATAATTCGAGGTTCTTACCAACCGCTTTATCACAACAGAGCAAAGTATCTTGCTCAAAGATACAGCACAGTGCCGTGCTGTGAATCGAACCCGCAACTGTTCGGTCACGAGCCCGGCATCCGACCTCTTGACTACCGTGGCTCTCGCTAAACCTAGTAGGTTAAGTAGGAAAGTACAGCTACAAGTAGGTTAAACGTTAACGCCTGGTATCTCACAAAGCATCGAACATATTCGTCTAAAAGTCGGTTATCGAATCGCTTAGTTGAGTGCTGTATGTTGTTCCGTATATGCCTGATGAAGCTCTAAGAAAGACTTCGTGAATAATGTATATCTCATATTCAAATTATTTAGATACTTTTACCGAGATGAATTACAATACCATAGAGATACTCTATTATATGTTTATCATGTTGACATTTTTGAACAATTGAGTAATATGTTTAACTGCGAATATAGCATATAATTATCCATTCTATTTCTCGCCGTTATTAATTTGTTTTGCTCCGGTTAAGTCCCGGCGAGGTACGACGGTAGTGTGTGACAGGCCCTCAAAGTAGAAAATATCCGTTATGGTCAGAAAGTGTAAATGTCCGTCCTTCCTTTTCATGGCATTCTACATGTACATAATTAAATTTGGAAACACTTTCGATTTGATTTTCTCAGTCTTTCGACGTTAAGTACCATTGATAAGACCTTTAAAAGGCTTACTTTGCATTTCTTTCTCAATCTACCCATATAACCAAAAAAATCCAATAAGTGCACCTGGGTCAGAAACGTAAAGAGTCAGATTTTCACAAACTTTTACCGTTTGATATAGGAATTTATACTGGACCAGGAATCAAAAGCGATAAGGAAGCCATGAGTTGCGGGGTAAGTTCATCATTATCATCATCATTCAAACAGTGTTTCCTATTAATATCATTGTTTGCTGTATTAAAGGTCCTAGTTATACACTTATTGCACGCTATGAAAAGAAAACGACACTATACTGAACTAGCTAGAGAGATTAAAGACATAATGCAAAGCCCAATTACTAATATGGTGGAAAAAAAATAAAAAGAGAAAAAAATAAAAACTTTTCCCGTTGCCATAAAGAGGTAGAAAATAATTGGCATATATGTGATGGTGTTTAGATACGATCCAAAACGATATTGTGTACGGTGAGGGAATCAAAAATGGAACACTTGTTTTAAGAAAAAATCCAAAAAAAAATCCTATAAAGTTTCTGAAGACATTTTTTTTAATCTAATGAAACAATACATGCATATAGCCTTCTTTTTTTTTTTTTTTTTTCTTGGATATCAACAGAGCGTGTGTCTATTTATAGAGGTCATTAAAGTTAGTCCGATTCTCTTGGAATTGTAAGCTGGTCGAGTACCCAAAATGGAACACTTCATCACATAAGTCAGTTTATGAAAATAACTGACAGCATTTAAAACAAGTTTCTTCATTTCAAAAAGGTTTTGAAAACCTCTGATAAACTTTAATATTTTTTCCCCTAAAGTATTTTTTTGAACATATAGTTTCCCATTTTTAGAAGTATGATAGGATATTTACAAATGTATGCTGTCGCACCTTACTGTTTCCCGGGTTATTTTATCATTTAATTTTTTAAAATTTCAATTTAGTTTATAAACAATGTTTAAGATGTAGGCAGATGAAATTCGCTCAAAATGCTAAAAACTCTTGAAATCTTGATTAGAAATGCAAACACTAATCCCTTATATTACAAAATAAATAATGCTGCATCATATATATCAAAAGTGTTCCATTGTTGGTACCGTTCCATTTTCGGTACTCTCACTGTACGCTTACACGGAAAACGAACGGGAAACTTACTCCTAAATTTAAGGTTACAAATTTCATTCATTTTGCTTGCTATTTGAATCCCAATGGATTTGTTATTTTTTTGTATATTTAAGGCTAACTGTTTTACCGTAAGTGAATCGACACCCATTTGAAATGCCAATACTTGTTCGTTCATGATTCCATTGTCATATTTGTCTGATGCTATCTCGTTATATAGAGGTTATTTCTTGTAGAAATCAGCTCAATTATGAAATAATCCAAATACACTCATCGTACTAAGCAATTAACATATATATGAAAACAAATAACATTGACATTTATTGTGTCAAAACACAACATTCGCCTATGTAGATACTACAATAGAGGCCTGACTACAGAAAAAATCATAACAAAACTGTATTTTATACATGGACACTGTGTGACAAGATAAAGAAATACAATGAAAAAGTGTTACTAGACACTAGATACAAAAACACCGTGTGAGTTAATAAAGAGGTAAACAAAGTGTGAGTAGATGAGATATATAGACACAGTGTGACTAGATATAGAGAAAAAGAGGCACAGTGTGAGTAAATAAAGAGATATATATAGACACAGTGTGACTAGATAAAGAAATACAGTGAAAAAGTGTTACTAGACACTAGATACAAAAACACCGTGTGAGTTAATAAAGAGATATATAGACACAGTGTGACTAGATATAGAGATACAGAGGCACAGTGTGAGTAAATAAAGAGATATATAGACACAGGGTGACTAGATAAAGAAATACAGTGAAAAAGTGTTACTAGACACTAGATACAAAAACACCGTGTGAGTTAATAAAGAGGTACAGGGACAAAGTGTGAGTAGATGAAGAGATATATAGACACAGTGTGACTAGATCAGAGATACAATGCACAATGTGACTAGATATAGACACATAGACAGTGTGTTACTAGATATAGACACATAGACAGTGTGACTATATATAGAGATACATATACACAGTGTGACTAGATATAGAGATACATGGACATAGTGTGACTACATATCGAGAAACATAGATACAGTGTGAGTAAATAAAGAGATACATAGACACAATGTGACTAGATATACACACATAGACAGTGTGTTACTAGATAAAGAGATACACAGACACAGTGTGACTATATATAGAGATACATAGACACAATGTGACTAGATAAAGACACATAAACAGTGTGTAACAATTAATAGAGATATATAGACACTGTGATTAGGTACAGAGTTACATGAACAGAGTGTGACTATATATAGAGATATATACACACTAGTTAACCTATAAAGAGATGCAGAGACGTATTGTGAGCAGATGAAGAGATATATAGAGACAGTGTGACTGGATATAGAGATACAAAACACAGTGTGAGTAAATAATGAGATACATAGACACATTGTGACTAGATATAGAGATAAATAGACACAGTGTGAGTAGATATAGATGGTCAGGGATGCTACTATCAAAAAAGGAAAATTCAAGACAAAATAAATTGTAAGGGTGTGACCAACATCTATAATGCTAGTTATTGTCAAAAAAAGTAAAACAGTGTTCAGCCCCTATGTCTGCATTGCCTTTCATTATGATATCTCCAAACCAAGTTTCAATTATTTTCAACCAAAACATAAGCAAATTAAACCATATTAAAAATAGCCCTATCCCGCGGATAAATAGGTC